CCCCAGCTCTGCTTCCCACCTCCCTTCCAGCTGGTCCTCTCCCCCTCCCCGACAAGTGTGTCCAGTTTTTTAGCAGGGTCTACCTGGCACCCCTAGCAGTGTCTGACACTGGGTTGGCAGCCTACCCCATGTCATGCAATGATCTGGGCTGCGGCTTACCTTTTGTACACTAGGGGTCAATTTCTTTGCAGGTGTAAATTGGCACCAGTTCACACCAGCAGAAAAGCTGGCTCTAGGATTTTTTTTCACAAGATTTACCATCTTGTGGGACACTTCCCACATGCCCTTCCAAGGTAGGCGACTTTGGTTATCTTCACCCCATCGTGCAGACAGAGAAAGCGCCGAGAGTTGTCCAAAGCCACGGCGGTTCTGAGCATGGGTGCAATCAGACGCTCCTAGCTATAGCCTGTGCTCAGATCGCTGAATTGTGCTGAATGCATCTGATCAACCTGGTTCTTATAACTCCAGGGCATAAGACAGACGCTTTGATAGGACGTTACAAATGTCTGCTGTCCACAACCATTCTAATGATGGCCCCTAAACTATCCTCCCAGGAACGTGATGTTGCTGGAAGTGAAAAGAGAGACAAGGAGACTAGCAGGCTGGGGATAAAGGTCTCAGAATGAATCGCATCTTCTGTCGCTTAAGTAGATTCTATACTATCATTTCATGGCCATAGCGGGCAGCAAGATGTTCTGTTTCTCCGCCACGTCTGTCCCACGGAACTCCTCAGCTACGTCTACACTACATGGTTTTGTGGCAGAAAATATGCTAATAAGAGACTCATTAGCATAAGTTGAGATTTCATTTGCATGTTTTCTGCCAATCCGTTTTTGCGCAACAGATTTCATTTGCATGTTTTCTGCCAATCCGTTTTTGTGCAACAGCAAGCAATGTGGACGTTTCCTTTTTGTGCAAAACCCCCTTTTTGCACAAGATTGATATACCTCCCTTTTTGAGGCATAAGGATCTTGCACAAAAAGGGGATTTTGCGCAAAAAGGAAACGTCCACATTGCATGTTTTTGCAGAAAAAGCCCTTGCACAAAAACGGCTCGACTAGATTATGCAAATGAAGCGTGACAAAATGCTAATCAGTGCTTCATTTGCATTGCCGCTTCCAGCAAAAGCTGTAGTGTAGACATAGCCCTCAAGGAGGTGAATATGCTGCCCAGCTCAGAGCACCTCCGGCTGGCTCTGGAGGTGGGCTATTGCAGTCTTCAGAATACGCTGATTGGATTTGGAGGGTGACAGGGTCGAAGGGGAAGTGCCACAGACCCTGGCTGTGTTCCAAACCGTCCCAATCACATGTTCTTGTGGTGTCAGAAGTGCTATGCAATATGGCAATCTGGCCCTGTTCCCATCCTATGTGGGGAGAGCCGGCCGGAAATGGAGGAGTGCTTATTGAAACTGTTCATTAATGGCCCTTGCTCTCAGAGAAAGTCAGTCGCCAGTGTTCAGACAAGCTGCAGTTTACATGTGCTCCAGAAACAACTGTGAATACTAATGTCCTAAACAGCCACCCCCCAGTCTCTAACCTCCCCTTCCCGGGACAATTCACTGAGAAGTTTGCACTGGGCCAACTGAAACAATATTTGAAATCCCCAGGATCCGTGGAGTCCATCCAATTCAGTTTAGGAGCGGGCCCCAGCCCAGAAATGGTGCACAGATACGACCACAGAGAATGTGCTATAAAAAGGGCTAGTGGGGTTCCATTTTTATTTAATGTTTCTTGTGAATATATCAGTGACTACTGCCACAGAAACAGGCAAAAATCAGTGCAAAAACGATTAATTTTAACTAATTAATATTTTGGTGGATGGAAAGTTGGGGGGGAGGAGAATATTCAGTAGATTAATGCTTTGAATTGTGGTTTGCTGCAGAACTAAAACAGAACTCAAAACACAATGCCATTTCCGATTTAAAAACCCCCCAATGTTTCTGTAATCCCTAAATAAAACATTTCATTCAAATAAACAGTTTACCGTTACAGACTTAGAATTATTAGCCAAAAAATACTTACATTCAATAATTGGGCCATGCCTTTGCAGTACATATACTCACCTTCATCCTTTTCTCCTTTCTTTGGTTTTTTTTTTCAAAACTTTTGAATACTGCATTATGTGCTGACACATAATCTGATACAGATTTTTGTTTTCTTCTCATTTTAGCATGTCAGCTCTTTACACCGTTATCTGCTAGCAGCTTGAAATGTGTATGTGGTGGGCGTGAAATTATCAGTATGTTTAGAGGTGTACACTCTTCAGTGCTTGCATGAATGCCTGTTTGTTTATTGGGTGTATCTTTTAGATTGATACATAGCTGCATTTCCAAAACAAGGTGTTTTTATATATTTGACTGATACAAAAGTAGGCTGAAAATTGAGGTGGGGGGGAATGAATAATTTTGTAAAACCTAGGAATTTTTTTGGTGAAAATGGGCTTAAATGGCAAATGAAAGGGGTTAGAAATAAACACCTAGACAAAGCAGAGAATTCTGTGGTGACGATCCACTCAGGTCAAAAGCCAGGTCTTTTATGACATGGCTTGATTTTTTTCCCAGTGCCACTTCCTCTCAAATGCAGATCTCACCTCAGCCATCCCGAGGGGAGCTGACCCCATCTCAGCGCGGCAGGCTGAGGTGTGGGCTCCGTGCCCTGCACTTGCTGCCGTTTGCTTACTGGACGAAAGACAAGTTCAGGCTGATGATGGCCTCTTCCCCCACGACTCCCCAAGAGATGCTGGAATTCTCTGCCCCACCCAATGAGCTTCTGGACGCTAGAGGCATCCAGTATTGGGAGGCAGGAGTCTCTAGGTGCTAGGGAGGGGAACAGTTAACCTTCTAACCAGTAAGCATTACCAGGTGATGGTCACTGGTTACGGTTAACCAGCAGTGGCTGGAGCAGCCCCCATGTCCACTGCTGGTCTGGCCTGACTGGAGCAGGGCACCAAGGGCAGGGGTCCATCCCCGCCTGCCTGCCCCCTTTTAAGTGGTTAAACATAATATTTAACCAGTTAACTGATTAAGTGGGATTTTACATCACTACTGGGGCCAGCTGGCAGAGGGCACAGGGCTTGGGTTGAGTTTTATAGGGATCCCAGGGCTGCTGGCAGGGGGAGGCAAAGGGGGAAGTTGCCCCAGTGCCTGATAATTTAAAAGAGCCCGGGCCTTTTAAATCACCGCCGGAGTCCCATGCGGCACAGTCCGGCTGGCACGGAAGGCTGGCTAGGGGAGGCACCATGCAGTGTGGGCGGTGCCGAGGGCTGGTTGCCCTTTAGCCCTGCTCCCTTCTGCCTGAGGCCCCACCCCTTCTGAGGGTGCGGGAGCCGAGCCCTCTGCCCCACATGGCCCAGGGCCTGCCAAGTCTCTCTCGCCTAAGTTGGATGTATGCATTATAATTCATTAAAGTGGGTGGGTGGGTGGCTCTGAAGACCCATAGCCCACTGGTTGTCACTGCGACATGGATGGGTTGGATAAGATTTAAAGAGCTGTGTGTCTGTACCAAAAATGATATTCTTATGGCAGGCAACCAGGACATGGCACATCGTGAGCAGGCAGGAGGTAGCAACAATTATCACGCTGCGGGGTCACATGTGTCCCGGTCATTGTATGCCGCACAGTTGGCGCCTGTTTGCCTTCTGAGCCAAATGCTAATTGAGGGATTGTGAAATCTTCAAGAGAGG